GAGAATGAGAATTTATTTTATATAAATGTGATCATATGGTGTATATGCTATTTTAAATAGAATACTTAATTTTGTTTTGAATTTGAAAGAAAAAATTGAAGTAATACAGAAGACATTACTGAAATTCAGGTGTGCTTTTTTTTTTTTTTTTTCAGAATATATGTTCTTGAATGATCCTGCTAGAGTTAAGAAAAAGGATCATTTTTTTTCTGCATCTGTTGAGATGATTTTTTTAAAAAGAAAGAAAAAGGATTATAAAAATACTAAAAGCTTGGAGAAATTATTTTTAAATTACATGGTTCATCTTTATATAGCATCTATTGATTCCTTATTATAAAAGATGAGGAAATGAGTGCACTTATGCTTTTACCTTACTTCTCTCTATCCCCCAACTTTTATGTTATTATTTTTAACTTTTTATAGATTATAATCTGTATTCTCTATTTTGTTAACATAATTTCTTTGGTTGTTTAGTCTTAATTATATAGAGAGTGCACAGTCTGTTCACCTTTGGCCTCTATTTCTGACAAGGAAGAACAGCTTGGCTGTATATAAAATCCTCAAGTCACATTTTCTTTCCTTAGAACTCTGAAGACTTTGCCCCACTGTCCTTAGGCATAGTGTTACCTTGCAGAATTCTGAAGCCTACACGTGACTTGATTTTAAGGCTTGTATGAATGTAGTATTCTTCTTTTGTTCTTGGTGATGTGTACGGTGTTGATAATTCTGTATCATTGGTTGACCAAACTGCAGTTGGTCAAGTTTAATTTTTGTTTCAGTGTTTATGCCAGCTGGCTTGAAATGTGATACTTGAAGGTGGCTATGGTTTCTAAGTGTTCCATCTTCTTGACTGATAGGATCCCTTTTACAGATTGTGAGAAATCTTAAGGTGTCTTACTTTTTGTACTTGTCCACTTATGGTATAGAGAGAAGAATGTTCTCAAAACCCGGTGAATGTAGAAGCGCTAAAATTTTGCTCTTTTGGACTCGAGTTATAAGAAATAAGTAGATATGTTTATGTTTACATCCTTGAGTCATAGTCACCTATATTCACCTTATTTCTATTTCTGACACACTTCAAGCTTGTTCTCATTTTAGGGCTTTTATATTTTTTAGAACCCTCTTCTGTCAGATCATCACATTACTGCCTCATTCAGGCCATTCTGGTCTCAGCTCAAATGTCATCTCTTCAGAGAAGTCTCCGTACCAGTTCTGGCTGAAATACTGCAGAGCAGTTCCTCCCTCTCTCCAGCACACACGTACATGCTGTATCACATTACCCTATTTTATACAGAATAGTACCAGAAATAAAAAAATTGGATAATATCCCACCACCATCAAAATGATAGTTAATGTTTTACATTTACCTTGATAGAAGTAATTTTGCCCCAAAAGGTGATTATTTTATACACGTTGATCCAAATTTAATACTTTATACGTAATAACTCACTTTTTTGGCTAAATTTATTTAAACAGGAAACTTTGTCACTAATGTGAGTGGAAAATTAGTATCACTTGACAAAATTAAACATAATAAAATAAGTATAAATATAATAAAAACTACAGTTTTATGACATTTTTTAATCTTTAGAAGCTCTGAGGCTAAGGACTACTCTGTTGGTAAAAAGATTGATTTATAAATGTTAAACATTAAAGGCCAATAGCATCAAATCGAGACTTTCTCCTTGACAAAGTCAGTATTGAAAGAGAATTGAAAAGGAAGTAACTTTCTCACCAAGCAATTCAGTATAATGTGGCATATAGTCTTTGTCTTCTAAACTTACCAGTGCACTAAAACTAAACACTGTTTTAGTTGATGTAAATTTGAAATAAATAACTTTGGCAATGGACTAGGGTAAAAGTGTGCTAGTCAGTTAGTGTTAGTGAACTAGTAAGAATTACTGGGAAAAAACCTGTAAACTCGCAAAATTTATTTTAACCCTTTCCAAGGTGAGTTGAGTGACATGAAATTATAAAACTCATAATCAGTGTTTTAACTGTATTGCTGTGAAATTCTTCTAAATTTCTAATTCCTACATCATGAAAAAAATAGTACATGCCCCAAATTAGTGAAGGACTCTCAAATTAGTGTTGGGCTCTCTGCTAAGCACTTCACATATGAGGCACTTCAAAAAGTTCATGGAAAAACAACTAAAAGACAATACAAATCTTTTCATGAACTTTTTGAAGACCTCTCATATATTACCTGATTTGATCATACCCATTCTCAGAGAGGTAGAAGCATTTTCATTTTAAAGATGTGAAGCTAGAGGTTAGGTAATCTTAGATCTAAGTTTCTATGACCAGTATGTCTGTCTGATTTCAAAGGTCATATTCTTAACCACTAAATCTTGGACTGAAAAAGACAAGATGTGAAGAGAAGGTATAACATAGCATTCCTGTATGGTGAAGTCTGTTGACCCAGGAGCATGTCTTTGGAAAACAACCTCTAATTTTTTAGCTCTAAGGAATCCACCAAATTATATGGATCTTTTATTTTCAGCTGTTCTAGGCCTCATGTCATCACAAGGGCATTCAGTTTTAAAGGATAGCCTTAATGTTCTCTTTGCTTAATTTTTATCTTAATATTTGGCAATATTTCTTTTCAAAAATAAATTCTTCACATAGTATGTTACCATTTTATGAAACAAGTAATTATAATAATACTGCTAACCTTGTGTGTGGGAACAACAGAGCAATCCAGGGTATCCAGAGTCTGTGGTTTGAGTTTTTCTTATAGTAGGGAGAATGGATTAGAGATGATAGAGTCGTGACTCTTTTCCTAGGCTGATCCTTGGCAGAGTCTAGGCAAGGTGCAATGTAGAAGATAATTTGGAGGTTACAATATAGACAAGTGATTCCTCACTCCCTTCCCCTTTTATTCTAGGTTTTCCCTTTGTATTAGTTCAGATCATCAGAGAGCTTTGTTTTCTTTTGCTTCCAGAAGAATTGCAATTACTAAGTTCCTCTCTATTATCCACTTGGTTAAAATTGAGGGTTATAATTAAGAAACTGTTATTTAAAACCTGCTAATGCATTTACTGTAGGGATGTTGTTGGGGACATCACTATAGTTAGTAGTTAGTCAGTGGCCCCTACTCTTTTATTCTGAGTGTCATAGAAAGTTTAGTTACTTCTATCTGTATGTTACTTGCATTGCTTTGACTGCCGGGAAGCTTTTACTTTTATTATCCTTTTTTTTTTTTTTTTTTGACCTGTAAGGGAATTGTAAACCCTGTCTCAGTGTTGTCCACACCACGCTCAGCCAGTGAGTGCACCGGCCATCCCTATATAGGATCCGAACCGACCTGTAAGGGAATTGTAAACCCTGTCTCAGTGCTGTCCACACCACGCTCAGCCAGTGAGTGCACCGGCCATCCCTATATAGGATCCGAACCCGCGGCCTTGGTGCTACCAGCGCCACACTCTCCTGAGTGAGCCACGAGGCTGGCCCATTATTATCCTATTTTAATGTGCCATTTGTGTAAGATGCCTCAAATCATGACAAAAAGTAAATAATGCTGTGCTTCCACGGGGACTTCTTTTATATTTTCAAAGATTCTAAAAATTTACCTAAATCAGCATTTGTCTAGTGTGTTTATTAGTAAAATATAATGTACCTCCTCATTTTTTGCCAATTTTGTTCATATGAATTTGACATAAGATCAGTTCTATGCCAAAAATACTTAAATAGTACTTTAAATATTTATATTTTAATTACAATAATATACTTATGTTTATTATTATTACTAAATAATTCACATTAAAATACAAGTAATTATTTTTAATTCTGGGAAATTGTATTTTAAAAACTCTTTGTAACTTGTAACAAGAATATGTTGGTCTTTAGTATCTAAGAATGAGCTATATTCACTGTTTCTCTTATCAAACTCAATCAAATGGTCTCATGATTTCTGTGATACTTCTATATAAAATAATTGTTATAGGACTGGCCAGTTAGCTTAGTTGGTTAGAGTGTGTTGCTGATAACACCAAGGTCCAGGGTTTGATCCTGTATCAGCCATCTGCCAGAATAAATAAATAAATAAAATGATTGTTACTTTATATTTGAAAACATCTCGTTTTGGAAGTATAATCTAATTGGTAATTTTAATGAAATTAATTTGTTTATAAATGTATTTATTTTGTGGGTATATCATTGCTTTCTGCTTATAACATTTCTTAGTATTTTTTCATTTTTTGTGATACTGTTCTTTATCTGGTAATTTGAGTAAATCCCAGTTGAATTATGTTGCCACATTATGTCTTCAAAAGGGCATAAAGTCAGTACACATGCTTCAGTAATATCTGGTTGTTTTACCCTTATGTTTCCAGTTGGCAATTTGAAATTATGGCTTCGACTGCACTTTAAATATGTAATAATAGCATGTGTTTCTAATAAGGGCCAGCACCATTTTGATCAGATAGTGTGAATGGTTGTCACTCATATATGACAAATGCACCTTCATCTGCTTCTTTGATAGCCCCCTAAAAACCATACCCTCAAATCAGGCCGATGAAATTAGCTGCTGTGTAAATTGTGTGTCTGAGTGGTTCATTATCTAATCACCGTCAGAACCACAGTGATAAAGTAGATTGAAGCAGGGAAGAGGTCTGCCAGATGATTTCAGGCCCCTCCCCCCCAAATCTGGTTTCCCTTGGAAACCTTAATAGTGCAGTTTAGAACTTCAGGCTTTCATGCCTGGAATTCAGGATCTTTCAACGTATCAAACTTAGAAATGCCAGTAGTTCTGGAAAATAATTTTCATTCTGTAAAGGCCATAATTTTATTTATTCCAATCAATTTTTGAAATGTTGAGGCTCTAAACTGCTATTTTGTTTAGTATGCTAAGTATTACTAAATGGGAAAAAAATACTATGTCCAACTTGTTTAGAATTCATACTATAGCTATTTGTCAACCTTCTAGGAATCTTTTGCTCTAATCATATGACCCTCTGTATTATTTGTTCATTGAATTGCTTCCCTTTAATTCATTTTAGGTGCTTTTGAAGATGATGATATCACGCATGTTGAAGGAAGTGTAGATCCTATTCGAGATATAGAAATAATACATGAAGAGCTTCAGCTTAAAGATGAGGAAATGATTGGGCCCATTATAGATAAACTAGAAAAGGTGGCTGTGAGAGGAGGAGATAAAAAACTAAAACCTGAATATGTAAGTAAAAATTTACAGCTTCTTTTAGGTGCTTGTGTATATTTTTTCTTGATAAAAAGCTTTAAAAATAAAGCACATAAAATATCTAATAATGTTATAGAATTTTAGAATCTGAAGGTTATTTCTGTTTAGAAGTTGTTGAGAAACTTCTCTTTCTTTTTTTTCTTTTTGGCAACCAAGGGTCATGGTGATAGGGTATTTAAGGTGTTTTTAGCAAGCCATACATAGTTAACAGTGACACTGTTTTTGTGGTTACAATGTGGATCTTCCAGTTTTAGTGTTCATGAAATGTGGTTTTATAATAAAAAGCTTAACAGATTTGAAGAAAATAACTGAATATATGGGTTTCCTGGATTTGAAGAAGTGATTTATATAAAGAATTGGTCTTCCATAGGGGTTGACTGAATGAATGCACTCTTAAAATAGAAAGATTACTTTAATCTTTTATGGAATGAAAACTTGCATCATTGTCCTTAATGTTCAAATATGTTTTCTATCACATTATTAGCGAATAATTATTAGTAACACTGTAATAAATGTTTCAAAACCAGTTTTGATGCTTTTAGTCCAAATATGATTTAATTGTCTTTTACATTAAAAATGCAGTGCCTTAATTGTACATTTTCTCATTTATTAACATCTTCCATAAAGTTTTCTTACTTTTTAATGCATCTGTCATAAGAAAGATTTTTCTTTTTAGTTTTTTAAGTATTAATTTTTAATATATCCATTTATTTTTAATTTACTCATTTTCAGAAACTGTGATTGTCCCATCTTTCCCTTTCCTCATTCGTGTTTTAGTAAATTTGGAAAACTCTGCACTATTAGGGAAGAAATCAATTACAGAATCAACCTCTAAATTTAAGCACACCTTCAATAAATTGTGGTTGAAAGTGTGTGGACTTGAAATAGGAAGACATGTGGTGTGCTTTTAATATCCTTGATGGCCTGGATCAAGCCCAAGTCACTTTACTTCTCTTAACATCATGCTTCTTTCCTATTCAAATAGAATAGAGAATAGAGAGATTTGTCTGAGAAAATTGCACAAGGATTAGGACGGAGAGGGGGATTAAAAGTATGGGTATAAGGAATATTCCTTTTGGAAAAGGAAAAAAAAATTGTAAGAAAGATGTTGGGATTAAAAGCAATTCATTTGCCCCAAACAACATGTTTACTGATTAGGACAGATCCTATGCCATTCCCGCTTTGGTCATTGAAACTTAACTGACATTCATAGGTCTTTCAGCAACATTAACCAGGGGCTGGCTGGTTAGTTTAGTTGGTTAGAACCCATCCTTGAAACACCAAGGTCACGGATTCAGAACCTGTACTGGCCAGTGCCAAAAAAAGAGAGAAGATAATAATAGAAACATTAACTGACTTAAAAATAAATTTCTCAGTCTTGTCTTTACTTAAATGGGAGAAAGGGCATCGAGTTCTTTTGAAATTCTTGGGCTACCATTTCCTGGATTTTTCTCTCGAAGAAAACCAGAATGTTGAGTGCTGTTACTCCTTGTAACAATACTTTCTTCCCATTTCTAACCATTTTCCTAAAACTCCTGTACAAGATTTGAAAGCATAGCTTGCACTTGTGTTTCCCAAAAAATCTAAATACCGCCTCCCCAATCATTTTTCCTTTCACTGTCAAACTCTTCTGGATAGATGGAAAGCATTATAGCCTAATTTTCTCATTTCCAAAAATGGATTATTCCACTTTTTTCTTCCCTCATATTAGATTCAGCTGCCTCAGAACAAATTAGAGATCAGTATTTCTCAACCTTTTTTTCATTATTACCAACTCTAAGGAAAAAAATTAAAGCTGTATTTACATTAATTAAATATTAATGAGTAAGATTTTGTCAGGTAGGGTTTGAGCTTTCAAGTGCCACAAACTCTTTTAAGTATCTAAGATTTTTTTCACCTCTCCCCACCCCTGAATGAATTTTTGCCCTTCTAGGGGCAATATTACCCCCACTGAAAATGCATGGTATAAATTATCTTATAGCCACCCAATACGTGTAAATATGGTAAAACAAATGGCTTTTTAGAAATATTTTTTGGTTTGTTTTTTATCAAAAAACAGGATTTTGGTTATCTGTAGCTCAATTTGGGGAGAATTAACATTTACAATATTGAATCTTTTAAAGAGTGAGGGGGCCAGGGAAAGGTTAGTAGACTGGTACAAAGTTACAAAGTTACAGTTACATAGGAAGAATAAGTTCCAATGCCTTAGGGTGACAATAGCTAAAAATATTACATTGTATATTTCAAGATAGCCAGAAAAGAAGATCTTGAATGTTATAACCACAAAGAAATGGTAAATGTTTAAGTGATTGATATGCTAACTATTCTGATTTGATCATTATACAATATATGCATGTATTGAAACAACAAACTGTGCCCCATAAACGTACAATGAAAAAAAAAATTCAAATAAAAACAACAGCTGCCATCTTTAAAAAAAAATGGAATCTTTCAGTGCAGGAACATCTTATATTTCTATTTATTGAGCCAGGCACTGTTGTATACTTTTAAAATATGTGATCTTATTTAAACCACACAACATGCAATATATATATTACTCCATGTTACAGTTGAGGAAACCCAAATTTCAAGAGGTTTTGTGCATTGTTTGAGATTTCACATGTAAATTGTAGATCAAAGTTTTCAACCAGATCAGTCTAGCTGTAGGGTTAATTTTTTTTTTTAATTAACAGTTTTTTAATTGTAAAATATGACACACAAAAACTTTCATTAGTCCAGGGTTTGATCACTGTACTTGGCCCCCCACCCCCATGCATTAATCTCATATGTATAGTTTAATATATAGTGTAAAACAAACACTAGTAAAACCTCCTTGCATATCAAGGAATAGAACGTTATTAGCACCCCAGGTTTCCCTGTCACTTACCAGTCTTAACTCTCTCCATCCTCCCACAGCTAACCACTATTCTAACTTTTACAGTAATAATATTCTTGCTTTTTTTTGTTGTTTCTTTCATCTTAAATCTTTTATTTTGTTCTTAAAAGTAAAATAGTGTTTTTTAGTCTTTGCTTTTTATACCACCACTGTATGTACCACCTAAAACAATATGAATTAGTTTTGCCTGATTTTAAACTTTATATTAATGGTATATATGTGTGTGAGCATTTTTTGCTCACATTATTTTGTATAAGTCGTTCATGTTGCATCTGTCTTTAATTCATTTATTTTCCTTGCTGTAAAATGTTTTATTGAAAGGATATATACCTTTTAAAATCTGTTCTACTGTTGACTGGCATTTGAATTTTCCCCGTTCCCTGCCCCACACATGTTCAAAAAGCTTCTATCAACTTTATTGTGGCATAATTTTATAAATAAAATGCACCCTTATAAATGTTCACCTTGATGAGTTTTGGCAAATATATGCACATGAATGACTACTACTCCAATCAAGATATAGAACATTTCTATCACCCCCAAAAGTTCCCTTATGCCCTATTGTGATCAACCCCTCCCTCCTTAAGTGGCCTTATGTAACCACCAATTTGCTTTTTGCTGTTATAGATTGGCATTATCTTTTCTAGAATTTCACATAAATGAAATCATATAGTATGTTTCTTTTATGTTTGTCTTCTTTTATTCATGTATTACTTCTGAGATTTTCTATTTTGTTACATGTTCCAGTAGTTTGTTCCTTTTCACTGCTGAGTAGTATTCCATAGTATAGATATACCACCGTTTGTTTATCCATTTACTTGTTGGTAGACATTTGGGTTGTGTTCAGTTTTGAGCTATATTAATAAAACTTCTGTGAACGTTTATGTACAAGTCTTTTTGTAGACATGTTTTATTTCTCTTGGGTAGATACGACTGGAATTGCTGGGTCATAATAGAAAGTGTATGTTTAACTTTATATTAAAGCATTAAATTGGTTTTCAAAGTTGTTATACCATTTTGTATTCCCACCAGCAATGTATGATTTCTGGTTGCTTCATATCTTTGCCATTTGGTGTTGTCATTCTTTTTTCGTTTCTTTTTTTACGCTTTATTATTTTGGCATTCCCCATGTTTTTAATAATTATGAATAGTGCTGCTGTGACTATATAAGGGCATACATAAGGGTGATCTAAGGTATATATCTGTAAGTCAGTAGTGTATTATATCTTCAACTTTACTGGATAACGCTGTTTTCCTATTGTTGTATGAGAGTTTATCCTCTTGTCAACACTTGGTATTGTCAGGTTTTTTTCATTTTTGCAGTTTGATAGTCATGTAATGGTATCTGTTTGTGGTTCTACTTCATAGTCCCCTAACTATTTAAAATTGAGTATCTTTTTTATTTGCTGTTTGGGATTTCCTTTTTTGTAAAATGTCTGTTCTAACTCTTTGGCTCATTTGCTCATTTTTCTATTGGATTAATATCTTTTTCTTATTAATTTGTGAAAGTTACTTATATATTCTGGATATAAGTCCTTTCTTATAAATGGATTGTAAATATCTTGTCCTGCTCTTTGTGGCTTTTTTTTTTTTGCTCTTTTTATGGTATCTTTTGAAGAACGGGTGTTAATTGTAAGGTTAGTTTTTTCTGTATCTTGTTTAATAAAACTTTCCTACCTTAAGGTCATCAAGATGATCTATCTTGTTAAAGTTTTATTGTTTTACCTTTCACATTTGAGTCATAAACCCACCTGGGATTTTTTTTTTTGTAAATGGTATTCAAATCATCCGATTTGGTTTTTCTTTTTATCCCCATATGGAAAATCTGTTGTTCCAATATCACTTATTTTAAAAACTGTTCTTTTTCTACTCCAGTGAAGTGCCATCTCTGTCATAAATCAAAGAACTGTGGCTCCTGGGTTTAGTTTTACCAAAAATTGCTTTATATCATAATTTAAATAACAATATGACAGTTGGTGGGGCTAGAAACCAATGCTAACCAGGGAAACATGTTTGAGGATGGATTAATTTTATAAGTAGTTGATTTATTAGTGAATATTTTTACATTATAACTTCTTTT